TCTCAAGAGAAACAAAATTGTTTATTTATTTTCTTCAACACCATCGCTTGTTAATGAAACATTGTTTGCTGTATTGACTTTAAAGAAACATAAACTGAAGAGAGTCATAGAAAGCCAGCCCTTCTAGGCAAATGTTTAATTAACCACAACAAAATGATTATTTTCTTCCATCTACTCAACTTCTGCGGTATAAAGTGAATGAAAACAAAACTTTTTGTGCTTAATTAAATTTTCATAATTCAATTAAAATCTTTACTATCTTAAAATTAGAAGCAACGTAGATGAAAGACTGTAAGATAATGATAAAGCAAAGATGAAAGCAGAATTTTTATTTATTTCGTTAAATGTCATCTTGATTTCTGTTGATGTAATGAATGGAAAAGAAAAACATATAAAAGTATCAGAAAGTTCTCTAAATCTTATTTCCAGTACGTCAAAGATGAAAAAATCTCGAATAATCGGCTTTGCCTTTTGAGATATCGACCTTTTATGTCTTTATGTTTGAATTTTTGACTCGTCATTATGGATTATTAGATGTTCAAATACTTGCACACATATATGTGGACTATCAAAAATAACAACAACAACAACAACAGAAATTCATCCTTTTTCCATTCTCAGCATATTCTGTGCTTTCTTTTCTTATTCTAAATCCCATTTTATACTCACAAACATTATTTCTTGATTCATGTTTTTAATATTGATGAGCTTTAAAATTTTGTTATGTCGAACTCCAGATCAAGCTCCTGAACTTAAATATAGTATAAAATAACTAAACTTTAGCTGTCATGACATTTATATAGTTTTGCGTTTTATATTTGATTCATAATTTCGTTAAAAATTAACATACTTGTCTTACCATGTCAACTTTTCAACGGTATTTCTATAGACTTGTCATCTTACTGCTTTCGTTGCTTTCAACTAAGACAAAGATAAAGATTGGAGGAATTTTTTTTGACATGTATGAATTATATATGTGACATAAGTTGAAAGTACGAAAAGTATTTTTTAGTGATTGCTAACTGTGCATTTTTGACAGAGCTTAAAGTCTATGAAATTTTGTATGGAATCGACTCCGCTATATAAAATCGATCAAAATCTCGTATTGACATCGAGCTCTGATTTTGGATATGTATTGAATATTCACTTCATCCATGTGAATCGATTTCTTCAAGATGATGTCCTGAGTGTGTTGAATAAGGTTACTAAAATATTGAAAGTGATTGATCGGAAATTGTGGGGGTGACAACAATGATTTTACAATTTTCATGTTCTACTTTATGGTGACAAAAAAAAGAGTTTTTTTAAATAATTCTCATGTGTTAAGCTCTTGTAGGTGGATAGAACTTTTACGAAAAGTTTCAAAGTAGTTTTTGTCCCAGTTTCCGTTTTTGCTCATTCAGATCATGTCATCGAGAATTTTATGTCTATTAATCATGTATGATTTTTATTCTCCTTATATCTTTCTATCCTTTGTCATATTTTTTATAGAGCATCGTTTCACTTTTGCCTTTTATGTCTTTTAGTTCTTGTTGTGTTTACTCATGTGAAAGAACTAAGTTGATGAATTTACTTCGTTGTAAGGTACAAGTCTAGTCGATGTCCTAAAGGTATAAACTTCTTTGCGATTTCTAAATACTTGCGTAATTATTTCAATATAAACAGGTTTTAATGGCATAAAATTCGGTTACAAATGTATTAGACGTCAAGTAGAGATCAAAAGCTATTTTTCAGTAATTATACGAATTTATAAAATTGGCGATGTGCAGATTGATTTTGAATCGTTGTGCGGAATAGAACTTAACCCATAGATCAAAATGTGATCAACAATGTACTTGACTTTTGGATTGACCTGTTAAAAATTTTTTGTATCTGCTTGTGGAAGTTACAACTAATTCCAATTTCTTTGAAAGCAATTTCTTGTGTGAGTTGAATGTCAAGTTTCACTATCCCTCATTTATGATTGATGTTTTATTATTATTATTTATTTATCTACCTTCTATTTTTACCTATTCTTTAAACTGTTAAGCATCTTCTATCTTAATATTAAAATGAAATTTTGTAGCATCTCGTTATTATGAATGGTGTTGAATAGTGAAAAGTAATAAATGTGCATGAAAATCAAATTTTATCGTGATTAGCATAAGATTGTTACGAAATTTTAAGCAATAAATGTAAAATTTGAAAAAAGATTTTTTCCTAGATTTTGTAATTATAACATAGACATTTATTTTAAAAAGTTAATCTTTAGTGCAAAATTTTATTTATCTAGATTTCGAATCTTGACGGAAATATTTTATAAAATTCAATCTTAATCAAAATTTATTATTTTTCTTGATTTAGATCATTTTATGAATTTAATTAAGACTCTTTTCTTGATTTTTGAATTTTAATAACTTTTTTGTGCTATTTCAATTCGATGTGGATGTGGACTTGAGTTAAGCAAAGTTTCTGGCGCGCATTATTTTCAGTCTTTATGCGTCATTCAAATTTTTGAGAGTAACTATCCCGAAAACAAAACAAATCATTAGTTTTGTTGTTGTTTTAAGCATGTTTCGATATCCCAATTGAGGATTTTTAATTTTGGGTCGTTGTTGAGCAAGAAATTAGGTAATCCTCGATTACTAGTAACTTTTAAAAACTCTTAATTGCGATTTTAAATTTAATCTAATAATTAATTGTTTTGTCTCTGTTTTTGAAGTTAGAATCAATAGAATATGTGAAATAAATATTTATTAAAGTTAAAAGCATGAAGTGATTTTAATTGTTATTGTTGTTCGCTATACCACGGGGTTTTTCGTTGACGTTTGAACTAAAAGAAGAAGGAGAAAGACAAAAAAAAAACAGCTGTTGAAGGAATGCTATGTGCGGCTTTAACAAAAAAGCACGTATGTGCGAAAAATTGAAGAGGAGTAATTTTTGCACATACATATAACAAATAATTGATGGGTATTCTAACCGAAAACTGTAAACTTTGCTTTCCTACGTCATTGCTTTCGTCAGAATGACCGCTAAAAATAAATTAAAAATAATGTACTTAATCTTATGAATATAAATAGCACCAATAATGGTTTTTGCAAGTTTGCAGCCGCATTTACGATTTGAAATATTTGGTGAACTTAAATGTATTATTTTGTTAATTTAATAAAACATAGTCAATTACAGCTTCTAGTTCATATAAAATAAATCAATCACAATTATGATCATATTTTAATGTTTTTGCATCAATAATGGTTGTCATTGAGCGTAAAAGTAAATTTATCATAATAAATTCAATAATATTATGCCAATGTAAAATATGCTAATGACATATATGATATTAATTTAATTTTTTAGAATCACTATCGTTGAACGAATCTTGTTATTTTTACATTTTTACATAGCTTCAACAAAGATTTATAAAAACCAATATGAACTCAATTGATCCCTTTTCACATCCCTTTTGATCAATTTTTATATCTTTATGATTGTAATATTTATGAGATAATCAATTTAGAATAGAAAGAATGTTGAGAAGGTTAAGAATTCTATTTCCGTGTTCAAACCTTAGAATTAAAAAATTACAGATTTTGATTATTAATTAGTTGGGATTAAAATTATTAACAATTGTTTCTTTTTCTTAAATGCCTCGGCCCTAAATGAGAAGATTATGCGAAGACGTAACAGCATTAGTCTTTTCTCGAATCAATAAAAAGAAAAATGAATTCCATGTGCTGTATAGTGCGTCTTCAAATGTACTTTAACCTTAAAACAACTTTCAAAATAGCACAGGTACATACTACTCATGCTGACATTTACGTCATTAAACGGTTTTCTTCAATTTTACTTTAAGAAGCATGATGAAAACAAAAAATCATTGAGAAGTTGAATGGCAGAAAAAGAAATGGTCAATAACAAATTTTTTACATCGATATTTTTTATGTAATGGACTCAATTTAAAATATTTTTTATATAATTCTGTATCTTAAAAACAGAAATTTAAAAAAAAAACACACAATAAGGCATTAGAAATACCAAAAATTTGCAGAAAACTTTACACTTATTACTTTGTTGTTTGAAAAATTGTCGAAAACTAAAAAAAATGTTTCAAATAAATGGGCGATTTTTAACACAGAAGACTTAATAAAGTCAAACCAAAGCACAGTGTCTACCGAACAATTTTTTTATAAGTGGCACACTTACTATTTTACTTTTTTCAAAATTACAAGCACATGATTTTGACAATCTGGTAACTTGAAATATGTAGACCTTAATATTTTATATTAAATTTTTGGGATACTCAGCTCAAAGTTTAGTTGGCACTGCTATAGACTTATAAAATTGTTTTTCAAATTATTCTTCGAGTTAACCACTTCTCCATTCAAAACAATCCTTAAGAATAAGTATTAAAGTTCAATTATTTGCTGGTGTATATAAGAATAACGCTAAAAATAGATTTAATTGGGTATATTTATCATGGATTATATTTTTTTGAGAAGAATTTTAGTGAAACATGCATTTAAGGCTTTTAAATAATACACTTTTAATTTAATTTTGTGGTTTTTGTTTTATATTTGAAAGTCGTTGAACCGAATCTTTGTTACTTTAGCAAAGTTTTTAACACTAAAGCAAGATTTACCCTTACGTAGATTTAAATTTTATTTAATTAGATGTCTTTAAACTTTAATATTTCCAATGAGTTACAAAAAAAAAATACTTAATTACACTTAATATTAATTATTTTATTTCATTCACAAAATCATCACATTCTCTTTTAAATGCTTTTGACTCTTGAAAGTAATAAGAAAAATTTTCTTTTTTAACCTTTGCGTCATTAAGAATTGCTGCTTAATTTTGACGAGAGTATATAAATGCTGTGCCAATACAAAATCTAATCGCATTCGTTTGCTATAAAGTGATTGAGGAGGTTCTTTTTTTGAAGTTCGCAAAAAAATATTTTTTTATATTTACTAATAAAAGTGCTGTTAAGTGAAACAAGTGAATAAGAAAAACAAAAGAAAATGGAGATTAAAATAAATGGTGAAAATATGAACATTGATAATGATGGTGATGCAATTGTTGTGTCAGGTATCTCAGGACGGTTTCCAAATGCAAACAACGTGCAAGAGTTTGAACATAATTTATACAATAAAATTGACATGTCTGATGAGGACGAAAGTCGTTGGAAACATTTCCATCCTGAAGTTCCAAAACGAACGGGAAAAATTCGAAATTTGAATAAGTTTGATGCTTCGTTCTTCTCAATTTTAAATAAGCATGCAAATTGGATGGATCCACAATGTAGATGCTTATTAGAGCACGCATATGAAGCAATTATTGATGCAGGAATATCGCCTCAATCGTTGGTTGGAAGTCGTACTGGTGTTTTCATTGGATGTTGCTTCTCAGATTCTCGTGATGCATTTTTCTATAATGTTCCTGCTAAAGAAGGTTATGGAGTGTTTGGGTAAGTTTAAAAAAAAGTGAAAACGTAATAGTTTTATAAGTGATTAAAATGTGCTGGTTAAGTGAGATAAAAAAAGCCATTTTTACTTAAAATGTAGTAAAACATGCTAATATATTAAAGTCTAAAATTTTTATGATTCAATTAAGCTACTAGGCAGTAGGAATTTAAATGGGATATAACCCTGAATTTCGGAAACAACAAGAAATAAAAAATCATCTATTAGCAATGAAACTAATAAATGTGTTATTAACCAATTTTTATATTTTAGAAACGCCAACTTTTACCTCTCGAACCGTCTTTCATATGCCTTGGGCCTTTGTGGTCCATCATTCACAGTGGATACCGCATGCTCAAGCTCAGCTTATGCATTAGATTGTGCTTACAAATATATTATGAGCGGTGCTTGTGACTCAGCAATTGTTGGAGGTTCACAATTAGTACTAAATCTTCAAACAACACTTGAATACTCTAGGTAAGAGCGAGAAAGAAAAAAAAACTATTCATACCATGATCTACCTCAACATTTTTGGTTTTACACACCTGATGTTCATTCACAATATTTTCTCTCTCACATGCTACGTCAACGATGATGTGCAAAAAATAAAACTTTTTAATTCTGTGTTAGGCATTGAAAATAATCGTATTTTTGGAGAAATAATTACAATGAACCCAAGAAGAAGCAAAAAAAAAAAACATGAACTTTTATTTGCTAGTACTTGTTTATTTTCATGTTGAGCGACCGTACTAACATTGATTTTTTTTTGTCTGAGATAACTGATTGAATTATGTTTGTGTAATAGATTGCGAATTTTGGCACCGGATGGAGAATTTTGCAGACCGTTTGATGAGAATGCAACTGGATTTACTCGTGCTGATACTATTTGTTGCATATTCTTACAGCGTCAAAAGGATTCTAAGCGTGTATATGCACAAGTGATGTACACAAATTCTAATAATGATGGATTTAAGAAGGAAGGATCGTCATTTCCTAGCCGTGTGATGCAACAGAAATTGATGGAAGATTTCTTCAAAGAATCAAAGATTGATCCAGGTCTTGTGGATTTTGTTGAAGCTCATTCTACCGGCACACGTCTTGGAGATCCAGAAGAAGTAGCATCAATAGATGAAGTCTTCTGTAAAACTGTGAAACGTAAACAACCGCTCTTGATTGGATCTGTAAAATCAAATATGGGTCATGCTGAAGCTTCCTCAGGTGTAGCATCGATTGCAAAAATCTTATTGGCTCTTGAGAAACATCAAATTGCTCCAAATATAAACATTACAAACATGAGAAATGATATACCTGCTTTTGCTGAAGGTCGTATTCGAGTTGTGACAGAGGTTGAAAAACTTACTCGACCATTTATCTCAATGAATAGTTTTGGACTTGGTGGTGCAAATGCTCATGCACTTTTCAAAGGAAATTTAAAAGAAAAAGTAAATTATGGAATTCCAACTGATAATTTGAAACGAATGGTTCTGTGGTCAGGTAGAACTGAAGAATCATTGCATTCGATTTTTGATGACATCATTAAACGCCCACTTGATGCTGAATATATAGCTCTACTTCAAAACTCTCAGATTGTAACAAATCCGGCTAATATTTATCGTGGATATGCAATATTCCATCATGATCCACAGACCCAGAAAGCTGTGTGTACATCTCGTGACATTCAACATTTTAATGGAGAAAAAAGACCAATCGTGTTCGTTTACAGTGGAATCGGAAGTCAATGGGCTGAAATGGGAGCTGATTTGTTAAATATTCCAATATTTGCGGAGACTATCAACTATTGCCATGATATCTTAGCTCCAAAAGGAATTGATTTAAAGCATATTATAACATCTCCTGATAAGTCTTTATTCAACAATGTTCTTCATTCTTATGTTGGAATTATTTCAATCGAAATTGCCTTGACAAATATTCTCAAAGCTCTGGGAATCAAGCCTGATTACATTATTGGGCATTCAGTTGGTGAAATCGGTTGTGCTTATGGAGATGGATGTTGGACGATGCAAGAAACTATATTAGCAGCATATGCTCGTGGAATTGCTAGCTATGAATCCAAATCAGTCAATGGAGCAATGGCTGCAGTTGGAATGAACTTTAGAGATGTTGAGAAAACTTTACCATCAACTATTGACATTGCTTGCCATAATGGAATAGATTCAACTACTATTTCAGGGCCAGTAAAAGCAGTTCGAGAATACATTGAAAAATTAAAAGAGAAAAATATTTTTGCAAAAGAAGTAGAAAGTTCTGGTATGGCTTTGCATAGCCGATACATTAAAGAAATGGGAGTTGATTTACTCAAACGATTAAAAGAGGTTATCAAAAATCCTAAAAAACGTTCAGAACGATGGATCAGTTCAACATATTCTGAGAATGAATGGTCGGTTAATCCCGAGAGTCAGTTCTGTTCTGCAGAGTATCATACGAAAAATTTATTGAATCCTGTTCTATTTGAGGAAGTGACTGAAATTGTACCGAAAAATTCCCTGACTATCGAAATTGCTCCACATGGGCTTTTGAAATCTATTCTGAAACGATCAATTAAAGATGGAGTTCACATTAGCTTGACACGTCGTGACAATAAAGAAGGATGCAGTTTATTGATGGATTCTTTGGGAAAGTAAGTAATTAAATCTTAATTAAATTTATCAAATAATAATAATTTTTAAAATTTTCAGACTGTTTCAAAATGGAATTGATATTGATATTCAAAAGCTGTATCCAGCAATTCAATTTCCAGTTTCTCGTGGAACTCCAATGATATCTTCGATCTTCAAATGGAATCATTCTGATAACTACTTTGTTGGGAATTTCGATTCACACAATCTTTATGAGAAAGAAAAAATTGTTATCAATTTAAATGATAAAGCATTTGAATTTGTACAAGGTCACATTATTGATGGGAAAGTACTTTTTCCTGGCACAGGATGGTTGTACTTGGTCTGGGAGAATTTCGGTAAAATGATGGGCATCAAACATACAAATTTGAAAGTTGTTTTTGAGGATGTGAAGTTCTTACGTGCAACTTCTCTCTCAAAAAATCAAGATGTTGTGGTCACCATATCGATTCATAGAGGTTAGAATCAATTTTTTAAAATTATAGAAATTTCATATTAAGTTCCAATTATTTATTAAAGGTTCTGGGAGATTTGAAATTTACGAAGGACGATCGACAATTGCCAATGGCTTCATAAAAGCTGGAGAAAATGTTGAGTTGATGAAGATTGATGTCGAAGAAAAGAAAGATGCCGTTAAATTAGCAGAACCAGATTTTTACAAAGAAATGCGTCTTAGAGGATATTACCATCAGGGCCTTTTCAGAGCAATCAAAGAAATTCGTGACGATGGGTTGGAAGGGAAAATCAAATGGAATGATGAATGGGTTACTTTCATGGATTGTCTCATTCAATTCCAAGTTGTTATGAAAGATACTAGAATGTTAATCTTGCCAACAAGTGTGAGAAAGATGGTTATTGATCCAGCATTGCATTTTAAAATTATTGAAAATTCTCGAGAGCAAGAAATTATCTTTGATGCTAAATGTTGTCCGTACATCAACGTCATTCAAGCTGGTGGTGTTGAAATTCATGGGTTTGAAGGAAGTTTAGTAAACAGAAGACGTCCACCATCAGATCCAGTTCTTGAGTCATACAAATTTATTCCGTATAAAAATATTTCAAAAGTCTCCAAGCGCAATGTTGCAAAGATTTGCGTTCAAATTGCTTTGGAAAATTCTCCAATGAAGAAACTGTCATCTGTAGAAATTGGAGATGAGAGTTCACCATTAAGTGAATATATTTTCAAGGGTCTTGGTGATTTACCTTTAATTACACCAGAAGTTAATTATTTGACATCACAAGAAGTTGATTTGGAAAATGTTGCTGTACAAAATCAAGAGTTAACCTCATTCAGCAACGTCAATTTACTGATCAAATCAAAATGTACAAATGACAATGCATTTATTGATTTAGCTAAGTCAGTAATGCATGAAAATGGGTTGATTATATCAAAAGATCCCATGAAAATTACTACGGATATAAATGAAAAACTACAATTAATAGCAGAAATAGAATTAGACGACGGATATCTTCATGTGATGAGATTCAAGAGTTCACAAATTCATGTTCCAGATTCTATAATAAATGTTTCATCAAAAGTTGATGACTGGCTCGAACCGTTGAAAGCAGCAATTGCAAAAGGATCAGTATTAGTTTATTCTCAAGGAAATGATACATCTGGAATAATTGGTCTCATCAACTGCATTCGTAAAGAGCCAAATGGAGAAAAAGTCCGATGTGTATTTATTGATGATAAACAAGCTCCAAAGTTTGATGTTCAAGATCCATTTTACAAACCACAACTTGAGTTGGGGCTTGCAATGAATGTTTATAAGAATAGTCAATGGGGAAGCTACAGACATCTAGAACTGGTCGAAAATGTAGAAGCTATGCCAAGGTCAGAGCATTGTTATGCAAATTGTCTTATCAAAGGAGACTTGTCAACTCTTTCATGGCTTTACGGTCCACTGAATGTCCGAAAAGATCGAGAAATCATCAATATTGCATATGCATCTCTTAATTTCCGAGATGTTATGCTTGCAACTGGAAAAATTACTTCTGATGATGTGCTTGACAGAATTCAGCAGCAATGTGTTTTTGGTTTTGAATTCTCAGGAACAACCAAAGCTGGTCGAAAAATTATGGGAATGGGACCAACAGGAGCAATGGCTACTCATTATGATGCTAACAAAACACTTTTATGGGATGTTCCAAATGATTGGAATTTAGATGAGGCAGCATCGGTTCCATTAGTTTATTATACGGTTTATCTTGCATTCTTTAGAACCATTCAAATTGAAAAAGGCAAAACAATTTTGATCCATGCTGGTAGCGGAGGTGTTGGTCTTGCAGCCATTCAAGTTGCGTTATCTTATGGATTAGAAGTTTATACAACTGTTGGATCAGAAGAAAAAAAAGATTATTTACGAACCAGATTTCCTGCATTAAAACCACAAAACATTGGAAACTCCAGAGACACATCATTTGAACAACTGATTTGTGTTCGTACAAAAGGAAAAGGTGTTGATTATGTGCTCAATTCATTGTCAGCTGATAAACTTCAAGCATCAATCAGATGTCTTGGAATGAATGGAACATTCCTTGAAATAGGAAAGTTTGATATAATGAATAAAACTAATATTGATATGGGACATTTTGCAAAGAGAGTTAACTTCAAAGCGGTCTTCTTTGACGATTTGCCGGTCGAATCTGAGGAATTGAAGGTAACAAATTTAATTAAAAATAAAACATTGAAAATCAAAAAAACTTAAATTTATTTTACATTTCAGATTATTCATGACCTTGTAGAAGCAGATATTAGAGCTGGAATTGTTAAACCATTGAAAGTAAATGTTTTTGAAGCAGGAGAAATTGAACAAGCATTCAGATTTATGGCCTCAGGCAAACATATTGGAAAAGTATTATTGAGAATGCGTGGTCAACCCAACGATACTAAATCGCTTCCGATAAAAATGTTACCAAGAGTGTATTGCAATCCAAACGGAACATATGTCTTGGTTGGTGGACTTGGTGGATTTGGGCTTGAGCTTGCAGATTGGTTGATCTTGAGAGGATGCCGAAAACTAATTATGAGCTCGGGTCGAGGTGTGACTAATGCATATCAGGCTTCAAGAATAAAGTAAGTCAGAGTTTCTTCTCTTTTCAAAAATAGTTTTGAAACAATTCATTACTGTTACAGAATATGGAAATCATATGGCGTTGATGTTCGAGTTACGACCGTTGATGTAACTACAAAGAATGGATGTGAGGAACTCCTCGTTGATGCTGTAAAATTAGGACCTGTTGGTGGTATTTTTAATCTTGCTGTTGCTTTACGCGATGGAATATTTGATAATCAAACATCTCAAACGTTCATTGAATCTTTGGCGCCAAAAGCTGATGCAACCAAATACCTAGACGAGTTATCGAGGAAATTGTGTCCATCACTAAATCATTTTGTCATATTCTCAAGTGTATCTTGTGGTCGTGGAAATGCTGGTCAAAGTAATTATGGTATGGGAAATTCAATCATGGAGCGAATATGTGAGAAACGACAAATGGCTGGATTACCAGCTAAAGCCATTCAGTGGGGTGCAATTGGAGATGTTGGACTTTTGGCAAATTTACAGGAAAACAACATGGACATGGAAATCAGTGGAACACTTCCACAAAGACTTAATTCATGTCTGGAAGTATTAGACAATCTTCTGACCAATAATGAACCAATTGTTGCTAGTATGGTTGTAGCTGAAAAACGTTTTGATGATGTCAAAAAGGGAAATATTATTGAAGCAATTATGAACATCATGGCAATTAGAGATAGAAAGCAAATCTCAATGGAGGCAAGCTTATCAAAACTTGGTATGGATTCTCTCATGGGAGTTGAAATTCAACAAATTTTAGAAAGAGATTACGATATTGCACTTTCATCTCAAGAATTGAGATCACTTACTTTAGGACAACTAGAAAAGCTTGTCAATTTGAAAAATTCTGGTGAAACCGCTGTTAGTTCTCAATTGCCAATTGGAATTGAAATGTTATTAAATAATTTTGGAGATGAAAAAGAGAGTCATCAAACAATATTGAAGGTTAATGATGCGCCATATAGTGATACAAAAATATTAATTATTTCTGGAATTGAGGGTATGAATAATGATTCATTGAAAACATTAGCTGCAAATCTTAGGCATCCAGCATATGTCTTGCAATTTGGAAATTCTTCAAAAGCTTCAACTCTTGATGAAATAGTTGAAAATGTCAAAAATGTAAGTTGAATGAAACTGGTAAAAGCTTTTTTACTTCATTTATCATTTTTTGTTTTTAGGATATATTGAATTTGTATGCTGGAAACGAAAAATTCTTGTTGATTGGTCATTCATTTGGATCTATGCTGGCATTGAAGCTTACAAATATATTGGAATCAATAGGAAAATCTGGAAAAGTCATATTAGTTGATGGCTCACCAAAATTCGTTAACGATGTTGTCAACAAATTGATGCCAACAGATTATAATGACGAACATATTCAAGGTTTTATACTATCAACTTGTGTTAAGATTTTGTTCCCAGAATCTATTCAAGAAATCACAAAGAAAATATTTTCACACTTAGAACTTGATAAACGTTTTGAATCATTCTTAGAAATCGCTGCAACACGTAGTGAATATAGTATAGATTATGGAAGACAGATGATTGAAGGACTGAATAAGCGACTCAAAATTATTTTGAATGCAAATGACGTTAATTTTATGGTGTTGAAAAAATCGCCGGTAACTTTAGTTAAAGCAACAGAATCATCACTTATTGGTATTGATGAAGATTACGGTCTGAAACGTTTTGTTGAAAGTGAATTCAAGATTCATGTAGTGAATGGTAACCATGTGTCAGTATTAACTAGTTTGGAACTAATTGACATATTGAATTCGTAATTAGCTAGTTTGTATTCTATTGGTTATTAAAGATAAATAAATCGAAATTAATTTTAAATGAAATAGTTCATAAAATAAAATTTTATTTGGATTTAATGGAACTGTTTTGACTATTTATTAAAAATATCATTAAGAACTTAAGTGATGCGAATCCATTTTATCGCGAAAAACACTAGAAAATTAAAGAAATTCTCCTCCGAGAAGGGTGGAAATCTATCCAATAATTCCCTGGCTTTGCCACTGGTGTACAGTATAAAAAGTGACAATCATTAAATTATTCTTCCTTAAAAAAACCCAGAATGATTTGATGTTTTGGTGTTAATAGCAAAAAATATTTTTTAAAATGTCAAAATAAACAAACTTCTAACCTTTAAAAAAACAAAAAAAAAACTGTTTAAATTTTAGGTATGATACAAAAAGATGTTTTCTCTGAAATTTCGTTAAAAATTAATCAATCATGAATTTTTTTAAAATTCAAAATAATCAGGTTAAATCCCTGCAAAAATTGTTAAAAATTATTTTGAATTTGTCGTCTAAAATGTGATTATTGACTATTTGCCATTTGTATTTGTCGCACCTACATTATTCGTTTCGTTTTCAAATAAAGACAACTTTACGCGTGCTGAAAAAAGATCAAAGTTTGTTTATGTGATTCATCTTGCTTGCATTACTAAAAAATTTTGTATGAGATGCATAAAATACAGCAGTGAATTACTTAAGGTACTCTTGGGACAGCTTTTCGTTGTCTCAACTTATTAATTTCATAATTTCACAATCTTCAATATTGTTTCTTGACCGATCTTTCAATAATTGAAATTTTTTATTGACATTTATAACTGCTTAATTCACACTGTTGTCGCATGTATAAAAATAGCTCGCCGATGCAGAATCAAATTAGTCTTTTTCTTTAGTTTGTTTGGAAAGGTTCTTGATCGAAATTTACAAAAATTATTTTTTGCTGACTTAAAAAAGTGTTGTTAAGTGAAAAAATAAAAAAATTAAAGTAAAAAATAAAATACACAGTGACATAATGAATAATGATAATAATGGTAATGCAATTGTGATTTCGGGGATCTCAGGACGGTTTCCAAATGCAAACAGTGTGCAAGAGTTTGAACATAATTTATACAATAAAATTGAGATGTCTGATGAGGATGAAAGTCGTTGGAAACATTTTCATCCTGAAGTTCCAAAACGAACAGGAAAAATTCGAAATTTGAATAAGTTTGATGCATCGTTCTTCTCAATTTTAAATAAGCATGCAAATTGGATGGATCCACAATGTCGTTGCTTACTAGAGCACGCATATGAAGCAGTTGTTGATGCAGGAATATCCCCACAATCATTAGTAGGGAGCCGTACTGGTGTTTTTATTGGATGCTGTCTTTCAGATTCTCGTGATTCATTCTATTATCACATTCCTGCTAAAGAAGGTTATGGAGTGTTTGGGTACAGTAATATTATTTGTCTGTCATCGGTTTTTTTAACCTTCATCATTTTAAAACGAGCTTCGTTTAAAAACCCAGAAAAAAACTGGATTTACCCTTAAATTTTTTTTAAAATATCTATCCTGAAATTTTACTTTTTTTTATCATTCTAAATCTTGAGAAAGAAAAAATCATGAGCAAGTAAAGAATTTATTTTGATGGAAAAAACACTGAATTTCTTGCTTACTAAATAGTTCATTTTAATTTTTTTTATATTTTCAACAAATTTCAAAAATTCATAGAAACGCAACTTTCTATCTTGCCAATCGTGTATCATATGCTCTTGGACTTTGTGGTCCATCATTTGTCGTAGACACTGCTTGCTCAAGCTCAGCTTATGCATTGGATTGTGCTTACAAATATATTATGAGCGGTGCTTGTGACTCAGCAATTGTTGGTGGTTCACAATTAGCATTAAATCCTCAAACAAATATTGAATATTCTAGGTAAGAACAACTTGATTCTCTCTGATTTTAAATTACTTATCAGTTGACAATTAAATTTTTTCTCGCATAGATTACGTATTTTGGCACCGGATGGCAAATTTTGCAGTCCGTTTGATGAGAATGCAACTGGATTTACTCGTGCTGACACTATTTGTTGTTTATTCTTACAGCGTCAAAAGGATTCTAAGCGTGTTTATGCACAAGTGATGTACACAAATTCTAATAATGATGGATTCAAGAAGGAAGGAGCGTCATTTCCAAGTCGTGTGATGCAACAAAAATTGATGGAAGATTTCTTCAAAGAATCAAAGATTGATCCAGGTCTTGTGGATTTTGTTGAAGCTCATTCTACCGGCACACGTCTTGGAGATCCAGAAGAAGTAGCAGCTATTGATGGCGCTTTCTGTAAAACTGTGAAACGTAAACAACCGCTCTTGATTGGATCTGTAAAATCAAATATGGGTCATGCTGAAGCTTCCTCAGGTGTAGCATCGATTGCAAAAATCTTATTGGCTCTTGAGAAACATCAAATTGCTCCAAATATAAACATCACAAACATGAGAAATGATATACCTGCTTTTGCTGAAGGTCGCATTCGAGTCGTGACAGAGGTTGAAAAACTTACTCAACCATTTATCTCAATGAATAGTTTTGGACTTGGTGGTGCAAATGCTCATGCACTTTTCAAAGGAAATTTAAAAGAAAAAGTAAATTATGGAATTCCAACTGATAATTTGAATCGAATGGTTCTATGGTCAGGCAGAACTGAAGAATCATTGCATTCGATTTTTGATGACATCATTAAACGACCACTTGATGCTGAATATATAGCTCTACTTCAAAATTCTCAGATTGTAACAAATCCGGCTAATATTTATCGTGGATATGCAATGTTCCATCATGATCCACAGACCCAGAAAGCTGTGTGTACATCTCGTGACATTCAACATTTTAATGGAGAAAAAAGACCAATCGTGTTCGTTTACAGTGGAATCGGAAGTCAATGGGCTGAAATGGGAGCTGATTTGTTAAATATTCCAATATTTGCGGAGACTATCAACTATTGCCATGATATCTTAGCTCCAAAAGGAATTGATTTAAAGCATATTATAACATCTCCTGATAAGTCTTTATTCAACAATGTTCTTCATTCTTATGTTGGAATTATTTCAATCGAAATTGCCTTGACAAATATTCTCAAAGCTCTAGGAATCAAGCCTGATTACATTATTGGGCATTCAGTTGGTGAAATCGGTTGTGCTTATGGAGATGGATGTTGGACGATGCAAGAAACTATTTTAGCAGCATATGCTCGTGGAATTGCTAGCTATGAATCCAAATCAGTCAATGGAGCAATGGCTGCAGTTGGAATGAACTTTAGAGATGTTGAGAAAACTTTACCATCAACTATTGACATTGCTTGCCATAATGGAATAGATTCAACTACTATTTCAGGGCCAGTACAAGCAGTTCGAGAATACATTGAAAAATTAAAAGAGAAAAATATTTTTGCAAAAGAAGTAGAAAGTTCTGGTATGGCTTTGCATAGCCGATACATTAAAGAAATGGGAGTTGATTTACTCAAACGATTAAAAGAGGTTATCAAAAATCCTAAAAAACGTTCAGAACGATGGATCAGTTCAACATATCCTGAGAATGAATGGTCGGTTAATCCCGAGAGTCAGTTCTGTTCTGCAGAGTATCATACGAAAAATTTATTGAATCCTGTTCTATTTGAGGAAGTGACTGAAATTGTACCGAAAAATTCCCTGACTATCGAAATTGCTCCACATGGGCTTTTGAAATCTATTCTGAAACGATCAATTAAAGATGGAGTTCACATTAGCTTGACACGTCGTGCCAATAAAGAAGGATGCAGTTTATTGATGGATTCTTTGGGAAAGTAAGTAATTAAATCTTATTTAAATTTATCAAATAATAATAATTTTTAAAATTTTCAGACTGTTTCAAAACGGAATTGATTTTGATATTCAAAAGCTGTATCCAGCAATTCAATTTCCAGTTTCTCGTGGAACTCCAATGATATCTTCAATCTTGAAATGGAATCATTCTGATAACTATTATGTAGGATTTATTGATTCACACAATCTTTATGAGAAAAAAAAGATCGTTATTAATTTAAATGATAAAGCATTTGAATTTGTACAAGGTCACATTATTGATGGGAAGGTACTTTTTCCTGGCACAGGATGGTTGTACTTAGTTTGGGATAGTTTTGGAAAAATGATGGGCATCAAACATACAAATTTGAAAGTTGTTTTTGAGGATGTGAAATTTTTACGTGCAACTTCTCTCTCAAAAAATCAAGATGTTGTGGTCACTATATCGATTCATAGAGGTTAGAATCAATTTTTTAAAATTATGAAAATTACATATTATGTTCTAATTATTTTTTAAAGGCTCTGGGAGATTTGAAATTTACGAAGGACGATCGACAATTGCCAATGGCTTCATAAAAGCTGGAGAAAATGTTGAGTTGATGAAGATTGATGTCGAAGAAAAGAAAGATGCCGTTAAATTAGCAGAACCAGATTTTTACAAAGAAATGCGTCTTAGAGGATATTACCATCAGGGCCTTTTCAGAGCAATCAAAGAAATTCGTGATGATGGGTTGGAAGGAAAAATCAAATGGAATGATGAATGGGTTACTTTCATGGATTGTCTCATTCAATTCCAAGTTGTTATGAAAGATACTAGAATGTTAATCTTGCCAACAAGTGTGAGAAAGATGGTGATTGATCCAGCATTGCATTTTAAAATTATTGAAAATTCTCGAAAAGATGAAATTCTCTTCGATGTTAAAAGTTGTCCATACATCAACATCATTCAAGCTGGTGGTGTTGAAATTCATGGGTTTGAAGGAAGTTTAGTAAACAGAAGACGTCCACCATCAGATCCAGTTCTTGAGTCATACAAATTTATTCCGTATAAAAATATTTCAAAAGTCTCCAAGCGCAATGTTGCAAAGATTTGCGTTCAAATTGCTTTGGAAAATTCTCCAATGAAGAAACTGTCATCTGTAGAAATTGGAGATGAGTGCTCACCATTAAGTGAATATATTTTCAAGGGTCTTGGTGATTTACCTTTAATTACACCAGAAGTTAATTATTTGACATCACAAGAAGTTGATTTGGAAAATGTTGCTGTACAAAATCAAGAGTTAACCTCATTCAGCAACGTCAATTTACTGATCAAATCAAAATGTACAAATGACAATGCATTTATTGATTTAGCTAAGTCAGTAATGCATGAAAATGGGTTGATTATATCGAAAGATCCTATGAAAATTACTACGGATATAAATGAAAAACTACAATTAATAGCAGAAATAGAATTAGACGACGGATATCTTCATGTGATGAGATTCAAGAGTTCACAAATTCATGTTCCAGATTCTATAATAAATGTTTCATCAAAAGTTGATGACTGGCTCGAACCGTTGAAAGCAGCAATTTCAAAAGGATCAGTGTTAGTTTATTCTCAAGGGAATGATACATCTGGAATAATTGGTCTCATCAACTGCATTCGTAAAGAGCCAAATGGAGAAAAAGTCCGATGTGTATTTATTGATGATAAACAAGCTCCAAAGTTTGATGTTCAAGATCCATTTTACAAACCACAACTTGAGTTGGGGCTTGCAATGAATGTTTATAAGAATAGTCAATGGGGAAGTTACAGACATCTAGAACTGGTCGAAAATGTAGAAGCTATGCCAAGGATAGAGCATTGTTATGCAAATTGTCTTATCAAAGGAGACTTATCAACTCTTTCATGGCTTTCCGGTCCACTGAATGTCCGAAAAGATCGAGAAGTCATCAATATTTCATATGCATCTCTTAATTTCCGAGATGTTATGCTTGCAACTGGAAAAATTACTTCTGATGATGTGCTTGACAGAATTCAGCAGCAATGTGTTTTTGGTTTTGAATTCTCAGGAACAACCAAAGCTGGTCGAAAAATTATGGGAATGGGACCAACAGGAGCAATGGCTACTCATTATGATCCTACTAAAACTTTTTCATGGGATGTTCCAAATGATTGGAATTTAGATGAGGCAGCATCGGTTCCATTAGTTTATTATACGGTTTATCTTGCATTCTTTAGAACCATTCAAATTGAAAAAGGCAAAACAATTTTGATCCATGCTGGTAGCGGAGGTGTTGGTCTTGCAGCCATTCAAGTTGCGTTATCTTATGGATTAGAAGTTTATACAACTGTTGGATCAGAAGAAAAAAAAGATTATTTACGAACCAGATTTCCTGCATTAAAACCACAAAACATTGGAAACTCCAGAGACACATCATTTGAACAACTGATTTGTGTTCGTACGAAAGGAAAAGGTGTTGATTATGTGCTCAATTCATTGTCAGCTGATAAACTTCAAGCATCAATCAGATGTCTTGGAATGAATGGAACATTCCTTGAAATAGGAAAGTTTGATATAATGAATAAAACTAATATTGATATGGGACATTTTGCAAAGAGAGTTAACTTCAAAGCGGTCTTCTTTGATGATTTGCCGGTCGAATCTGAGGAATTGAAGGTAACAAATTTAATTAAAAATAAAACATTGAAAATCAAAAAAACTTAAATTTATTTTACATTTCAGATTATTCATGACCTTGTAGAAGCAGACATTAGAGCTGGAATTGTTAAACCATTGAAAGTAAATGTTTTTGAAGCAGGAGAAATTGAACAAGCATTCAGATTTATGGCCTCAGGCAAACATATTGGAAAAGTATTATTGAGAATGCGTGGTCAACCCAACGATACTAAATCGCTTCCGATAAAAATGTTACCAAGAGTGTATTGCAATCCAAACGGAATATATGTCTTGGTTGGTGGACTTGGTGGATTTGGGCTTGAGCTTGCAGATTGGTTGATCTTGAGAGGATGCCGAAAACTAATTATGAGCTCGGGTCGAGGTGTGACTAATGCATATCAGGCTTCAAGAATAAAGTAAGTCAGAGTTTCTTCTCTTTTCAAAAATAGTTTTGAAACAATTCATTACTGTTACAGAATATGGAAATCATATGGCGTTGATGTTCGAGTTACGACCGTTGATGTAACTACAAAGAAAGGATGTGAGGAACTCCTTGTTGATGCTGTAAAATCAGGACCTGTTGGTGGTATTTTTAATCTTGCTGTTGTTTTACGCGATGGAATATTTGATAATCAAACATCTCAAACGTTCATTGAATCTTTGGCGCCAAAAGCTGATGCAACCAAATACCTAGACGAGTTATCGAGGAAATTGTGTCCATCACTAAATCATTTTGTCATATTCTCAAGTGTATCTTGTGGTCGTGGAAATGCTGGTCAAAGTAATTATGGTATGGGAAATTCAATCATGGAACGAATATGTGAGAAACGACAAATGGCTGGATTACCAGCTAAAGCCATTCAGTGGGGTGCAATTGGAGATGTTGGACTTTTGGCAAATTTACAGGAAAACAATATGGACATGGAAATCAGTGGAACACTTCCACAAAGACTTAATTCATGTCTGGAAGTATTAGACAATCTTCTGACCAATAATGAACCAATTGTTGCTAGTATGGTTGTAGCTGAAAAACGTTTTGATGATGTCAAAAAGGGAAATATTATTGAAGCAATTATGAACATCATGGCAATTAGAGATAGAAAGCAAATCTCAATGGAGGCGAGCTTATCAAAACTTGGTATGGATTCTCTCATGGGAGTTGAAATTCAACAAATTTTAGAAAGAGATTACGATATTGCACTTTCATCTCAAGAATTGAGATCACTTACTTTAGGACAACTAGAAAAGCTTGTCAATTCGAAAAATTCTGGTGAGACCGTTGTTAGTTCTCAATTGCCAATTGGAATTGAAATGTTATTAAATAATTTTGGAGATGAAAAAGAGAGTCATCAAACAATATTGAAGGTTAATGATGCGCCATATAGTGATACAAAAATATTAATTATTTCTGGAATTGAGGGTATGAATAATGATTCATTGAAAACATTAGCTGCAAATCTTAGGCATCCAGCATATGTCTTGCAATTTGGAAATTCTTCAAAAGCTTCAACTTTGGATGAAATAGTTGAAAATGTCAAAAATGTACGTTGAATGAAACTGGTAAAAGCTTTTTTATTTCATTTATCATTTTTTTCTTTTTAGGATATATTGAATTTGTATGCTGGAAACGAAAAATTCTTGTTGATTGGTCATTCATTTGGATCTATGCTGGCATTGAAGCTTACAAATATATTGGAATCAATAGGAAAATCTGGTAAAGTTATATTAGTTGATGGCTCACCAAAGTTCGTTAATGATGTTGTCATTAAAATGCTTCCAACAAACTACAATGATGAACATATTCAAGGTTTAATATTATTAAGTTGCATTAAGATTTTATTTCCTGAATGTATTCAAGAAATTTCAAAGAAAATATTTTCACACTTAGAACTTGATAAACGTTTTGAAGCATTCTTAGAAATCGCTGCCACACGCAGTGAATATAGTATAGATTATGGAAGACAGATGATTGAAGGATTGAATAAGCGACTATTGATTAGTTTAAATGTCAGTGACATCAACTTCAAGGTGTTGAAAAAATCGCCGGTAACTTTAGTTAAAGCATCAGAATCATCACTGATTGGTATTGATGAAGACTATGGACTGAATTTTTTTGTTGAAAGTCAAATTAAGATTCATGTAGTGAATGGTAACCATGTGTCAGTATTAACTAGTTTGGAACTAATTGACATATTAAATGCTGATTAAACAAAATTAACATTTTCTTTTGTTTTTAAAAGAAAGATATTAAAAGTTGTTTTTTATTAAGTAATTTACTGATATCGATTTACTGATATGGTAAAGTTAAAATTAGATTTGATGGAGATAATTAACTTTTTTAAATAAATAGTACTAAGATATGATAAATTATCCCTTGAAACTTAAAAATACTTAAAATTGTTACAACGAACTTTCTCGGTGTGCGATTTTAAGAAACAACAATTGATGTGAACCAATGTGAACATGAAATTTCCTTCTACACACAAGATAAATGACTAAACTTATAACCTTTAAAATATGATAATTCCGCAGCTGCAAACATTTTTGGTATCTATATGAGATGTTGTTATTAAAACAGAACTAAAATATAAATTCTTTAACAAAAAATGTTTGTATGTGACATTGTAGTTTCTAAAATTATTTGTAATAAATTATTTGCGTCATAGAAATGATAATTTTCAACAAGAAGTGAATGAACTCAACAAGTTTTTTTTTTACTATTTTACTCTTTAGAGAAGATAACGTAACGTTTGATAGTAGAAGCTTATAGTATTTTAATATTATACTCAAATGCTATGGCTATGGAATAACGTTTAAACTTTAAAGGGAACAGTCCGTAACCGGTACTAGAAATATGCCACTTCAATTCAATTTTATTCAAATTAAATTGTGCAACAGTATTTGTAGAACCTTTAAAGCGATAAAATTTATTTTTAACAATAAATCTTAAAACTTTATTATGCACTATAACTTAGTATACAGCGCATAATCTTTACCAAGCAGTTATGACGTAGTGCTCAGAGTAGTGTTCACACTATTAGGTGTGCGAGTGAAACAAAAATTAAAAAGTCCAAAATGTAGTTTTTCAGAAATTTGTAGAGTTTTACATCAGATAAGAAAGACTAAAACACAGACACAAAAAATAGATATTTTTACAAAAAAATCTTATATTAATAGATATTTATAGGTGTGTCGTGAAAGGCTTTCTATGGTTTAGTCATGGGAACTCGGTTTGTGCGATTCGCGGCGTGCAAATGGAGGCTAGGTTGATTGCATTGATATAGCCTGGGTCATGCAATTGGACAGAATTGCAGGAATCGTCGGTAAGGACATAACCAATCTGTCTGCAAAGACAAAATTAATTATATACTTTGGATGTCATCGCATCAATTAAATCAACATTTATAAATTAAGATTATAAAAGCTTCTTGAACTCTTGAAATATATGTAAAAGGATACATTTAAAAAAAATTAAAATTGAAATCCAGAAATAGAAAAGTATGTTTTTTAAAAAAAAAAAAAGGTGTGTCATATAACTAGTGTTCATACTAGCTTTCGTTCCATGTTTCAGTTGTTCATAATGTCACTAGGTTTGTTGAACAAAAACGATTTGCGGATCTCGAATCTTTCTCATTGTCTAAATGATTTTTTGACCCGTTCCTACATCTCACATGTCAAATTCTTAGTTTTACATTTTTAACTGCTATACTTAAGAAGTCGAAGAACTTAAACTTTTAAAAATCACTGGCTGATGGTGGAATGTAAACTCGAGAGTTCACAAATTCACCAAAGTCTTTGTTTGATTGTACAAGGAATATAAAGCTTGGATCTGCATCTTTAAGAATTATGCTTACCTTAACAACTAAGCTTTCAAGGCACCTTTACTTCTTATTTATTATTTGATTGAACCATTAACCTGTTAAATAAATTACTATCCCGAAAAAATTAAAACAACCCACTTTAATTTGTCAGACATAACAATCAAAATGACTATGCTTACTTTATCTTCTTTTAATTTGTTCCTGTTTCTCATAAGTTTTTAATTTTTTTTTTTTATTTATTCCATTTTTTGAGTAACTTGGAACTTGATTTTTTCACGTGTTTATACCTGTTTATTTTCCTCTGTTTTTATATGTATAAAATGGATCGTCCATGCTGAATCAAAATCAGTCGTTTCCTTTAAAGTGTTTGAGAAGGTTCTAAAATTAAATAAATAAAGAGTTAATAATTTTTGTAAAATATAATTAATGTGATTAATTGAAACAAATTTTAAAAAATGGATATAAAAAATGAAAATATAAACTTTGATAGTGATAGTGATGCGATTGTTGTGTCGGGTATCTCAGGACGGTTTCCAAATGCAAACAACGTGCAAGAGTTTGAACATAATTTATACAATAAAATTGACATGTCCGATGAGGACGAAAGTCGTTGGAAACACTTTCATCCTGAAGTTCCAAAACGAACAGGAAAAATTCGAAATTTGAATAAATTTGATGCTTCGTTCTTCTCAATTTTAAATAAGCATGCAAATTGGATGGATCCACAATGTAGATGTATACTAGAGCACGCATATGAAGCAGTTATTGATGCAGGAATATCCCCACAATCATTAGTAGGGAGCCGTACTGGTGTTTTTATTGGATGCTGTCTTTCAGATTCTCGTGATTCATTCTATTATAACATTCCTGCTAAAGAAGGTTATGGAATTTTCGGGTACAGTGATATTATTTGTTTGTCATCGGTTTTTTTAACCTTCATCATTTTAAAACGGCCTTCGTTCATGATAAAACGAAAAAATATGAAAGGAAAATTTTTAAAAACCAGACATTAAGGACAAAAAAAACTGGACTTTTGACCATGAATTTTTTTTTTAAATTTTGTTTCAAAATTTTTCTTTTTACATTTTATTAGACTAAAATTTTTGAAAAAAAAAAGAATTTTTTGCTTATTAAAATGATTTTATTTCTTTCATAACGATTAGTTCATTTTAATTTTTTTTATATTTTCAATAAATTTCAAAAATTCAAAGAAACGCAACTTTCTATCTTGCCAATCGTGTATCATATGCTCTTGGACTTTGTGGTCCATCATTTGTCGTAGACACTGCTTGCTCAAGCTCAGCTTATGCATTGGATTGTGCTTACAAATATATTATGAGCGGTGCTTGTGACTCAGCAATTGTTGGTGGTTCACAATTAGCATTAAATCCTCAAACAAATATTGAATATTCTAGGTAAGAACAACTTGATTCTCTCTGATTTTAAATTACTTATCAGTTGACAATTAAATTTTTTCTCGCATAGATTACGTATTTTGGCACCGGATGGCAAATTTTGCAGTCCGTTTGATGAGAATGCAACTGGATTTACTCGTGCTGACACTATTTGTTGTTTATTCTTACAGCGTCAAAAGGATTCTAAGCGTGTGTATGCACAAGTGATGTACACAAATTCTAATAATGATGGATTCAAGAAGGAAGGAGCGTCATTTCCAAGTCGTGTGATGCAACAGAAATTGATGGAAGATTTCTTCAAAGAATCAAAGATTGATCCAGGTCTTGTGGATTTTGTTGAAGCTCATTCTACCGGCACACGTCTTGGAGATCCAGAAGAAGTAGCAGCTATTGATGGCGCTTTCTGTAAAACTGTGAAACGTAAACAACCGCTCTTGATTGGATCTGTAAAATCAAATATGGGTCATGCTGAAGCTTCCTCAGGTGTTGCATCGATTACAAAAATCTTATTGGCTCTTGAGAAACATCAAATTGCTCCAAATATAAACATCACAAACATGAGAAATGATATACCTGCTTTTGCTGAAGGTCGCATTCGAGTCGTGACAGAGGTTGAAAAACTTACTCAACCATTTATCTCAATGAATAGTTTTGGACTTGGTGGTGCAAATGCTCATGCACTTTTCAAAGGAAATTTAAAAGAAAAAGTAAATTATGGAATTCCGTCTGATAATTTGAATCGAATGGTTCTGTGGTCAGGCAGAACTGAAGAATCATTGCATTCGATTTTTGATGACATCATTAAACGACCACTTGATGCTGAATATATAGCTCTACTTCAAAATTCTCAGATTGTAACAAATCCGGCTAATATTTATCGTGGATATGCAATTTTCCATCATGATCCACAGACTCAGAAAGCTGTATGTACATCTCGTGACATTCAACATTTTAATGGAGAAAAAAGACCAATCGTGTTCGTTTACAGTGGAATCGGAAGTCAATGGGCTGAAATGGGAGCTGATTTGTTAAATATTCCAATATTTGCGGAGACTATCAACTATTGCCACGATATCTTAGCTCCAAAAGGAATTGATTTAAAGCATATCATAACATCTCCTGATAAGTCTTTATTCAACAATGTTCTTCACTCTTATGTTGGAATTATTTCAATCGAAATTGCCTTGACAAATATTCTCAAAGCTCTGGGAATCAAGCCTGATTACATTATTGGGCATTCAGTTGGTGAAATCGGTTGTGCTTATGGAGATGGATGTTGGACGCTGCAAGAAACTATTTTGGCAGCATATGCTCGTGGAATTGCTAGCTATGAATCTAAATCAGTCAATGGAGCAATGGCTGCAGTTGGAATGAACTTTAGAGATGTTGAGAAAACTTTACCATCAACTATTGACATTGCTTGTCATAATGGAATAGATTCAACTACTATTTCAGGGCCAGCAAAAGCAGTTCGAGAATACATTGAAAAATTAAAAGAGAAAAATATTTTTGCAAGAGAAGTAGAAAGTTCTGGTATGGCTTTGCATAGCCGATACATTAAAGAAATGGGAGTTGATTTACTCAAACGATTAAAAGAGGTTATCAAAAATCCTAAAAAACGTTCAGAACGATGGATCAGTTCAACATATCCTGAGAATGAATGGTCTGTTAATTCCGAGAGTCAGTTCTGTTCTGCAGAGTATCATACGAAAAATTTATTGAATCCTGTTCTATTTGAGGAAGTGACTGAAATTGTACCGAAAAATTCCCTGACTATCGAAATTGCTCCACATGGGCTTTTGAAATCTATTCTGAAACGATCAATTAAAGATGGAGTTCACATTAGCTTGACACGTCGTGACAATAAAGAAGGATGTAGTTTATTGATGGATTCTTTGGGAAAGTTAGTAATTAAATCTTATTTAAATTTTTCAAATAATAATAATTCTTAAAATTTTCAGACTGTTTCAAAACGGAATTGATTTTGATATTCAAAAGCTGTATCCAGCAATTCAATTTCCAGTTTCTCGAGGAACTCCAATGATATCTTCAATCTTCAAATGGAATCATTCTGATAACTATTATGTAGGATTTATTGATTCACACAATCTTTATGAGAAAAAAAAGATCGTTATCAATTTAAATGATAAAGCATTTGAATTTGTCCAAGGTCACATTATTGATGGGAAGGTACTTTTTCCTGGCACAGGATGGTTGTACTTGGTTTGGGATAGTTTTGGAAAAATGATGGGCATCAAACATACAAATTTGAAAGTTGTTTTTGAGGATGTGAAGTTCTTACGTGCAACTTCTCTCTCAAAAAATCAAGATGTTGTGGTCACTATATCGATTCATAGGGGTAAGGATCAATTTTTAAAATTATGAAAATTACATATTAAGTTCTAATTATTTTTTATAGGTTCTGGGAGATTTGAAATTTACGAAGGACGATCGACAATCGCCAATGGCTTCATAAAAGCTGGGGAAAACATAGAAATGACTAAGATTAAAGTGGAAACGAAGGAAGATGCCGTTAAATTATCAGAACCAGATTTTTATAAAGAAATGCGTCTTAGAGGATATTACCATCAAGGCCTTTTCAGAGCAATCAAAGAAATTCGTGATGATGGGTTGGAAGGAAAAATCAAATGGAATGATGAATGGGTTACTTTCATTGATTGTCTTATTCAATTCCAAGTTGTTATGAAAGATGCAAGAAGGCTTACTTTGCCAACAAGTGTGAGAAAGATGGTTATTGATCCAGCATTGCATTTTAAAATTATTGAAAATTCTCAAAAAGATGAAATTCTCTTCGATGTTAAAAGTTGTCCATACACCAACGTCATTCAAGCTGGTGGTGTTGAAATTCATGGGTTTGAAGGAAGACTAGTAAACAGAAGACCTTCACCATCAGATCCCGTTCTTGAGTCATACACATTTATTCCGTATAAAAATATTTCAAAAGTCTCCAAGCGAAATGCTGCAAAGATTTGCGTTCAAATTGCTTTGGAAAATTCTCCAATGAAGAAACTGTCATCTGTAGAAATTGGAGATGAGAGTTCACCATTAAGTGAATATATTTTCAAGGGTCTTGGTGATTTACCCTTAATTACACCAGAAGTTAATTATTTGACATCACAAGAAGTTGAATTGGAAAATGTTGCTGTACAAAATCAAGAGTTAACCTCATTCAGCAACGTCAATTTACTGATCAAATCAAAATGTACAAATGACAAAACATTTATTGATTTAGCTAAGTCAGTAATGCATGAAAATGGATTGGTTATATCGAAAGATCCAATGAAAATTACTACGGATATAAATGAAAAACTACAATTAATAGCAGAAATAGAATTAGACGACGGATATCTTCATGTGATGAGATTCAAGAGTTCACAAATTCATGTTCCAGAATCTATAATAAATGTTTCATCAAAAGTTGATGACTGGCTCGAACCGTTGAAAGCAGCAATTGCAAAAGGATCAGTATTAGTTTATTCTCAAGGAAATGATACATCTGGAATAATTGGTCTCATCAACTGCATTCGTAAAGAGCCAAATGGAGAAAAAGTCCGATGTGTATTTATTGATGATAAACAAGCTCCAAAGTTTGATGTTCAAGATCCATTTTATAAACCACAACTTGAATTAAGACTTGCAATGAATGTGTACAAGAATAGTCAATGGGGAAGTTACAGACATCTAGAGCTGGTCGAAAATGTAGAAGCTATGCCAAGGTCAGAGCATTGTTATGCAAATTGTCTTATCAAAGGAGACTTATCAACTCTTTCATGGCTTTACGGTCCATTGAATGTTCAAAAAGATAGTGAAGTTATACAAATTTCATATGCATCTCTTAACTTTCGAGATGTTATGCTTGCAACTGAAAAAATCACTTTTGATGATGTAATAAATAGGATTCAACAACAGTGTGCGCTTGGATTTGAATTCTCAGGAACAACTAAAGATGGAAGAAGAGTCATGGGATTAGGTACAACGGGTGCATTGGCTACTCATTTTGATATTAGCAGAGCACTTTTATGGGATGTTCCAGACTTTTGGACCTTAGAAGAAGCAGCTACAATTCCATTAGTTTATTACACAGTTTATCTTGCATTTTTCAAAACAGTTCAAATTAAAAAGGGTAAATCCGTTTTGATCCATGCTGGTAGCGGAGGTGTTGGTCTTGCAGCCATTCAAGTTGCATTATCTTATGGCTTAGAAGTTTATACAACTGTTGGTTCAAAAGAGAAGAGAGAATTTTTGCTCACAAGATTTCCATCACTGAAACCACAAAACATAGGAAACTCTAGAGATACATCGTTTGAACAGATAATTTCTGTTGGAACAAAAGGAAAAGGTGTTGACTATGTGCTTAATTCTCTGTCAGGTGATATGCTTCAAGCATCAATCAGGTGTCTTGGAACGAAAGGAACATTCTTTGAAATCGGAAAATTTGATATCATGAATAAGACAAATATTCACATGGGACATTTATCAAAAAGAATCAACTTCCAAGGAATTTTCGTTGATATTTTAGATATAGATTACGAGGAATTAATGGTAATTTTTAATTTAAACACTTTTAAACAAATTATTTAATAAATTTACGATCTCCAGATCATTCATGACCTTGTTGAAGCAGACATAAAAACCGGAATTGTTAAACCATTAAAAATAAATTTATTTGAAGCAGCTGAAGTTGAACAAGCATTTAGATTCATGGCATCTGGTAAACATATGGGAAAGGTGCTATTAAAAATACGTAGTCAACCTAATGATGTTGAATCCCTTCCAATCAAAATGTTACCAAGAGTGTACTGCAATCCAAATGAAACTTTTATTATAGTTGGTGGACTAGGAGGTTTTGGGCTTGAACTTGCAGATTGGTTGATCTTGAGAGAGTGCAAAAAATTGATTTTGAGCTCTAGTCGAGGTGTGACTAATGCATATCAGGCTTCAAGAATAAAGTAAGCGTACATTAGATGTTTTAAAATTATATTTTATAGAAATTTATCTATTAACAATAAATTTTGTACAGACTATGGAAATCATATGGGGTTGATGTTCGTGTTACGACTGTTGATGTTACCTCAAAGAAAGGATGTGAGAGACTTCTTGTTGATGCTGTGAAAATTGGACCAGTTGGTGGAATTTTCAATCTTGCTGTAGCTTTGAGAGATGGAATATTTGAAAATCAAACATCTCAAATGTTCATTGAATCTTTGGCGCCAAAAGGTGATGCAACACAGTACCTCGATGAGTTATCGAGGAATCTGTGTCCATCACTAAAACTTTTTGTCATATTCTCAAGTGTATCTTGTGGTCGTGGAAATGCTGGTCAAAGTAATTATGGTATGGGAAATTCAATCATGGAGCGAATATGTGAGAAACGTCAAATCGCTGGATTACCAGCTAAAGCCATTCAGTGGGGTGCAATTGGAGATGTTGGACTTTTGGCCAATTTACAGGAAAACAATATGGACATGGAAATCAGTGGAACACTTCCACAAAGAATAAACTCATGTTTGGAAGTTTTAGATAATCTTTTGACCAATAATGATGCAATAGTTGCTAGTATGGTTGTAGCCGAAAAACGTTTTGATGATGTCAAAAAGGGAAATATTATTGAAGCAATTATGAACATCATGGCAATTAGAGATAGAAAGCAAATCTCAATGGAGGCGAGCTTGTCAAAACTTGGTATGGATTCTCTGATGGGAGTTGAAATTCAACAAATTTTAGAAAGAGATTACGATATTGCACTTTCATCTCAAGAATTGAGATCACTTACTTTAAGACAACTAGAAAAGCTTGTCAATTCGAAAAGTTCTGGTGAGACCGTTGTTAGTTCTCAATTGCCTATTGGAATTGAAATGTTATTAAATAATTTTGGAGATGAAAAAGAGAGTCATCAAACAATATTGAAGGTTAATGATGCGCCATATAGTGATACAAAAATATTAATTATTTCTGGAATTGAGGGTATGAATAATGATTCGTTGAAAACATTAGCTGCAAATCTTAGGCATCCAGCATATGTCTTGCAATTTGGAAATTCTTCAAAAGCTTCAACTTTGGATGAAATAGTTGAAAATGTCAAAAATGTACGTTGAATGAAAGTGGTAAAAGCTTTTTTATTTCATTTATCATTTTTTTCTTTTTAGGATATATTGAATTTGTATTCTGGAAGCGAAAAATTCATGCTGATTGGTTATTCTTTTGGATCTTTGTTAGCATTAAAGTTTACAAATATATTGGAATCCATAGGAAAATCTGGAAAAATTGTAATTATTGAAGGTTCACCAAAATTTGTTAATGATGTTGCAAATCATCTCCTACCAAAAGATTACAACGATGAATATATTCTTGGCTTAATATTGTCAACCTGTATCAAAATTCTGTTCCCAGAATCTATCCAGGAAATCACAAAGAAAATATTTTCACACACAGAACTTGATAAACGTTTTGAAGCATTCTTAGAAATTGCTGCCACGCGCAGTGAATATAGTATAGATTATGGAAGACAGATGATTGAAGGATTAATGAAACGACTCAAGATTGTCTTGAATGCTAAAAAAATTATATTTACTATGTTGAAGAAATCTCCAATGACTTTAATTAAAGCAACAGAATCATCTTTAAGTGGTTTTGATGAAGATTATGGTTTAAAACAATTTATAGAAGGTGATTTAGAAATGCATGTAATTGCTGGAAATCATTTGTCGGTGTTAACTAGCTCAAAACTTTTTGACATTTTGAATTTATAGATAATAAATTAAGTATAATAATATAGAAATAACTACTTATGGAGTCTATGGTACACAAAATAATTTGGTAATTGCAAATCCTTTCATATAATTTTTGGAATAGAACTGGAAACTAGAATTTTTAAAATATTGGGTATCAAAGGAATGAAAATAAAAGCGAAAACTTTTAAGCAGATTATTTCTTTATTTTGTCACAATCATTTAATACACGATTTGAATTCATGCTGAAATAATATAATTCCCTCTCATAAATCCTGTACAAATCTCTCCATCTTATCCTATCAATAAGGATTAATATCAAAGTCACCTCGCCTTCATACTTGCTACTTTTCTTAGAATATGATGACTCTCAAACAGTAAAAAAACAAGAAATCACCACAGAAAAAAAAAGTATTTATAATAAAGCATCAGTTTACATCCAATATTAATACAAGATGAGTAAAGACGGGTAGGATGTTGAACAAGAAGAAGTGGAAACGAGATAGAAAGTAAATAATAAATTTTTTCTTCCATCATAAATTCAATTTTTTCTCATTTCATATTTTTATTTCTTTAAGCTGCTGTAGTATGAGCTAAGTTCAACATAAATGGATGAGGAAAGAAGGAAGAGATGAAAAATTTCTTATCTCATTTAAGACTCTTTTAAATCACATTTATGGACATTGCTTTTGCACTTGGTTTAGTAATTTTAAGTCAATGTTGAGATGAAGTTTGTTTTATACGAAGTTTTTCACATTTATTGAGGAAATAAGAGTGTAGCTTTTGACGGTTAAAGAAAGTTAATCTTACATTCCTACTTTGAATTATATGTCAGTGACTAGTCAATTAGAATATTGATTCTAGGATCAGCAAAATCTTTTTTTACAGCCATTTATATCTCAGATCTATTTCAATATCAATTTATTCATTTACAGTTAATACCTCTCTAACGACCAGCACAAAGAATATCAATTTTTTTCATCATTAAATTTACCAAAGAAGCGAGAGAAAAAAATCAAATTGAAAACCCAAGAAACGCATGTTTCTGTCATAAAAATGCTATAACAAGCATAAACCTTAGAATGCGACTTCCAACTTCGATAGGAGAAAGAAGAAAAGAATCGAAAAGTTATCTCGTTAACACAATTTTCATAGCAATTTATGTGAGTTAAATAAAAAATTTGTAGCATATTAATTTGCCCTACTTCTGATTATTAATTTTATCTTATCCAAAAAGAATCTCTCGGCTTTATATTCTTTGTAAGAGAGTCCTGCTTTAGTAACATTAAGCAGGAAAAAAAGTTCATGTTATTTAAGGGGCCATTCACTTATTACGTAACGCTTTTAGGGGGGGAGGGGGGTCTAAGATTTTGTTACGGTTCAAACAAGGAAATTTTTTTTCATACAAATTTTGTTACGAAGGGGGGGGGGGGTCTAAAAAGTCATTTTTTCGCGTTACGTAATAAGTGAACAGCCCCTAACTTAATATTCATGCTGCGTTTTTGCTGTTTGTTTATTTTTTGCCTTTCCGTTTATTTCGAGCTTTTTTGTATACATTTCCTTAGCAATTTCGTGTGTATAAGAATTAATATTAATATTAATATTTTTTGTCTCTCCTGCTTGTAACTACCATTGAGGCAATGTTCCACTTCATTTTTTTTGTTGTTAGCTAATGTCGCCTTCCATTTATGCGAAATCTTCCTCATGAGCAAGAAATGAAAATGTTTTTAATTTAATTTAATTTAATTTAATTTATTAATCTCTTTTGCATTGCTCCTAAGGAAAAAGCCTTCTGAATCAGTGCTTAAACTGATTAAAAAGGCATAAAAAACCTTAGGATCCTTTAACATATACAAACTGGTGGTGTTTAGAAGAGTTTCAGTGTATAAATACCTTAAAGAAATCTCTTCTTAATTAATTATGTTAAAATTACTACAAACATTATAACGGCTCTCATGAATTTAAATTTAAACAGTAAAAATAAGTCTACAAAAATAACGGCAAAAAAAAAACTTTTCAAACACAAATTGTGTCATCTCAGTATGATTACAAATATTTACTTTAAAAGTGAGTGAATTAAATTAGATCAAGTTCAATAAAAATAAAAATGAGTGAAATAAAAAGACTAAGCGAATCATTGAGCTTCCTTCTACTGTTACTATTCATCTCCTTGACTGTCATTTCTGCTGCCGTCAGATAAGTATCCTTATTAATTGTAGTTCCATATCTTTTGCATATTAAGTCTCATTAGATACTTTTTTATCTCTTTTTAGGTATATTTAGCAAGGAAACTACCACTGAAACATGTCTCAATTATGCTCTTTTGCTGACAATGTGTTTTTACTGCACGCATGAACTCATAGATGTGCTTACTATTCTGGATTTCTTGAGGAAGGTCATTAAAGATCCTAGGACTAATTGCTGTTATTCTTTTTTTTCCATATGACGTTCTGGATGTTGTTGGCTTGAAGTATTCTTTTGTCCTGCCTGTTCTGGATCTCACTCTGTCAAGTTGTATGTTTGTGAAGATTAGTCTCTTTTTTGTTTTATATATAAAACTAGCAGCTGCCTTAAAGAACAACGCGCGTATTGGTAAGTTTCCTTCAACTAATTCCGAATACATTTCTACCCTGTTTGTCAACCGATCTAGGTCATATACGTTTCTCAATGCTCTATTTTGAAGTACTTGCAGAGGCATTATTATATTGAAGTTTGCACTTCCCCAGACAAGAATCATGTAATTTAAGTGTGTCTCAAACAATGATTTATATATTTTCTTTTTAATGTCACGTGGAAGTGTCTTTCTAAGCTTCCATATGATTCCTGCAGCATTAGACAGTTTTGTTTCAACATTCTTGATATGTTCATCCCATTTCAAACATTCATCAATTATCAATCCTAAGTATTTTGCGTTCTCAACTCTTTCTATTGTGTAATCTCTGTCAATTTTCACTTCCTCTCCATCTATTGCTCTTATTGGGATTTTCTTTATATTTTCTACTTTCGTTGTTGCTGAATGAATAATCATGAAGCTTGTCTTCTTCTCATTCAGTATCAATTTCTTTGCATTTAAGAAGTTAATAATTATTCTCATATCTTTGCAGATTTTAATATCAACATTCTCATTCAGTTTATGGACATTCATCAGTACACAGTCGTCAGCATATAGAAATATTTTACCTTCAAGTGTGAGCTCTGATATAGAGTTGAAAAATAATATGAAAAGCCAGCTGCCTAGAACTGAACCTTGCACTACTCCATGTGAAAAAACTGCTTCAGAGCTTAGAACTCCATTTACTCGTACGACCTGCTTTCTGTTTGAGAGATAACTTTTGAAGAGTTCCAATGCTTTTCCTCTGATTCCAAAGTTATTCAGGGTAAGCAACAATTCATTTATATCCACTATATCAAATGCTTTTTGCAAGTCCATGAACACAAGCGATACTTTTGATTTATTATCAATTTCCTTCTGGATTTCGTTAATCATCTCAATGGCTGCTGTTTCTGTACTTGATTTTTTTCTATAACCAAATTGCCATTTGTAAATTTTCTTCAGGTATCCGTCCGTAAAGTCCACTAATCTTTTGTGCAGAATCTTCTCGACAATTTTGTTGAATGTTGTTAGAATTGAAACAGGTCTATAATCTTCTACATTAGTTTTTTTGCCGGTTTTATTGATGGGAGTTACTATGGCTACTTTAAAAATTTCTGGATACTCTGCTGTCTCTATTATTTTATTTGTAAGGTGCATCAAAAGACTTGCTAATTCGTTACTAATTATTTTTACATGTTCTGTTCGTATACCATCTACACCAGGAGAAGTTTTTGAGAGTGATGCTATTATTTCTTTTACTTCAGTCTCTGATGTTTCTTCTAGGAATATCGAATTTGCTTCAGATTTTTCGGCAGCTGAATGAACATTCTTGTTTAGTTTACTTCTTGCTTCTGTTACAGAATCGATAAAATACCTATTGAACATCTCTGACATTTGTGCGGAATCAAAAATTAATTCTTCTCCTTTTCCTTTAAGAGCTACTATCTCATTACTTGACTTTCTTCTCCCAAGAAGCTCATTTAAGTTTCTCCATACTTTCTTATGGTCGTTTCCTTCTAATGACCTTTCAATAAATTTTGCTTTTTCATTCTTGATAATTTTCTTCATTTCTAGTGTTGCTTGTCGTAGTTTTTCTTTGTATGTGATATTGCCAGGTCTCTTACGGCACATTTTCGATAGGTGATCCTTATGCTTAATGGCATTAATTATTTTTACATTGTACCATTTGCAAATTTGAATGTCTTTGTTACATCTTAATCGAATTTTTGTAGTTGCTGATTTCATAGCTTCTTGCGTGATTCTAGTAAGTTCCTGTGCGATTTCGTTTGGATCATTAATTGTAAAAATTTTTGAGTAAAAACTAAGTGTCTCAAAATTCTCTTTAAATTTTGTCCAATTTGTCTGTTCTTTTACAACTACTTTTGGTGCCTTAACCTTTTGGATGTTAGAAAGCTCTGTTATAACTGCATTATGGTCGCTAATTCTATTATGAATCGTGAAATTTTTTACATTTGTTTTATTCTCAAAGTTCATACACAGATGGTCTATTATTCTATTGCTCTCATTCCTTGTCTTGATGCAATTTGTAATATTGAAGTCATAGCTTTTCAAAAGGTTAACATAATCTCTGGATTCTTTATTGTCAGCATTCGCATCCAAATTTACATCTCCGATTATCAATGTTCTTATCTGTTCATTGAGCTCTATCTCCACATCATTCATGAAAGGGTTAAACGATTGTTGGATGGGATTTCTATAGTAGCACAAAAGTTTATAGTCAGCATCATTGACGTTAACTATTAGTTTAATTTTTTCAAAGTTTTTTCAAAGTTTTTATAAGCAGAGATGTAGACACACAACTTTTCTTCTTTTTTACATCAGTAACAACAATCTACTTTAATTAAAGTTGAAAGAACAGGGCATGAATGAGGAGAATGGAGAGAAAAAAATTGTTAATGTTACCAAATGGT